ATTCAGCTTATAGCACCCGACCCAATGACTATGAAATCTAAGTAATAAGGTGTATCTGGGACAACACAATAGCAAAACTTGGCAGATTCTAGAAATCTGAAATAAAAACAGAAAATTCTGGAAATAGTCACCTGGTCAGGTAGTGTCTACATGTAAAGAAACAGAGTAATGGAGAAAATAACTGTATGAGTACCATAGAAAAGGTACAGGAGAAAGTCCCAGAATTCATTTGGCAAGAGATAAGGAACAAAGTGTGCAATTACATCGCTCAATTTGGAGTAAAGGGTTAATACTCAAATATGTAAATGGTAAGGTACATCAGTACTGACATAAGAGATCACATAGTAGAGAGACTCTAAAATTGATGCTACTGTGTAGACTTCTTGTCAAGTCTAAGAGTGCAAATAAATCATAGAATGTTGAATAAACAGTTCTTAAAGACCTTGGACTCTATTTACTTATCTTAAGCGATGTCGAGCACCCAATCTCTTTCAAATTTTGCAGCACAATACACAATATTGCAGGGAGTGTAAGAACCAGGACAAAGCAGAGGATCTGGAATGGGCAAGAATGTGGCAGGTGGAATGTAACACAGAAAAATGTGAGGCTATCCACTTTGATAGGAAGATCAGATGTGCCAATAATTTCTAAACTGGTAGGAGGTTCGAAACAGTACAAAGGATTTGGATATCCTAGTCAATATGTCATTGAAGGCTAACATGCAGGCAATTAGGAAGACTAATAACATGTTAGTCTATAACATAAAAGGATTTGAGCATGAGAGTAGCAAAGTTTTGATTCAATTGTATAAAACATTAATTAGACTGCAACTGAGTTTGAGTTTCTTTACCTCAAGAAGAATATTAATGCCACAGTGCGAATGCAATGAAGTTTTGTATGCTCTAGAATTTCAAAGAATGAGAGATGATCTCATTGAAACTTACAAAATACTTAAAGGTACAAACTGGGTAGATTCAGCTAAGATGTTTCCCCTGGTTGGGGAATCTAGAATAGGGTACAGAGTTTCAAAATAAGCAGGAAGCTACTGAGATGAGGGAAAGATTCCTTTAACACAATGAATTGTGAATCTTCCAAATTCTCTACCCTAGTGAGTGATGGAAGCTGAGTCAATTATGCTTAAAGTAGAGATTGGGAGATATCTAAATACCAATAACATTATTTGATTTAGGGGCAGTGTGGGAATGCACATTGAACTGGATGCTCAATAATGATTTTATTGAAAGCTGGAGCAGGCTCAAAAAGTTGAATGACCTACTCCTGCTTTAATGTTCCAAAACAAATTTTAAATAGTCATTTAAGACCGTAAGAAATAGGAACAGGTGTAGACTGTTCCAACCTTAAGCCTGCTCTTTCATTTAATAGAATAATAGCTGATCCACCATTTCACATGTCCACTTTCCTGCCCTTTTCTCCATAACCCTCGATTCCCTGACTAATCAACAAGCTATCTATCTAAGACTTAAATCTAAGCCCCCACAGCTCTTTGTTGCAAGGAGTTCCAAAGACTCTCAACCCTCTGACAGAAGAAATTCTTCCTCATGTCAGTCTCAAACTAGCATCCCTTTATTCTGAGACATGAAAGGAAACATGCTTTCAGCATTTAAAATGAGTAAAGTTCCAATCTGATTAATTAATTGATTGATTTATTGTCACGTGTACCAAAATACAGTGAAAAGCTGCAGTCATGAGCAGCACAGGCAGACTGCAGCAAGCAAGGATGCACCGAACAAAAAAGACCCAGGCAGAGGCGTACAGGCGACACTGCACAGGGGTGCATGCCAGGCTAAATCAACGCCAGCAAGATCTGCACCACCTGAGGCTAGAGAGTCCATTAGTCAGTCAACTAATGGCCGGGTAGAAGCTGCTCCCAAATCCGCCGATGTGTGCGCCCAGGTCCCTGCATCCCCCGCCCGATGGAAGAGACTGCGGAAGACCACCACCGGGGCATGACGGGTCCCTGACGTCACCAGCAGCCATCCCGCGACAGCGAGCTGCGCAAATGGAGTCCGTGGATGGGGGCCGGCCCCAGCAACGGTTCAGGCCACACACACCACCCTCTGCAGCCCCCAACGGCCCCAGGCAGAGCAGTCGCCATACCAGGCCGCTATGCACTCAGAAAGCATGCCCCCCCCAACAGTGTGTCCGCAGCAGCCGGTGAAGGACCCCATGGACATGCCAAAATTCCTGAGCCGCCTGAGGAAGAAGAGGCGCCAGCGCGCACCCTCCCAACCCAGGACAGGCCGCCGGCCACCGCCAACCCAACGCTTTCCACCCGCTCAGCCTCAGTTCCATTGATGTAGATGGGAACGCGCTTCTCCCACTCCGTCTGAAGCCGCCAATCAGCACCCCAGCTCTGTTACCGTAGAGAGAGAGGCCCCCACCATACCACGCCACCAAGCCCTCCATCTCCTCCCTGCGCGCCGACTCATCGCTGCTAGACATCCATCCCACCACAGTGGTGTCGCCATCGAGCCCACAGACGGTGTTCATTCAGAACATGGCAACACAGTCACAGATGTACAGGGAGCACAGTAGGGAGCTGAGGATGCGTCCCTGGGGGGGCTCCAGTGTTGAGTGTTATTGTAGAGAAGGAGCAGTTTCCTGTCTTCACTGATAGTGGTCTGTGGGTCAGAAAGCTGAGGGGCAGCACCATGGACATGAGATAAGGCTGGGTCCAGCCCTCCCCCTTCTCCTTGCTTCCCTGACCTGGCCTAACCAGTCTATCTTCCCACTCACATATCCGCTCCACACTTCCCATGGACCAATCACAATAAACCCCTACCTACATCCACCTATCACCAACTCCAAGATGACTGTTGCAAGCAAATTTTCTTCAGGATTTACCCTTCAGGGACTTTCTCTTGTCACCACTGAAATAACTGCACCAAGGCCGGTATCCCGTCACCAAATCACCATTTAGATACACGTACACAAAAAATGGACTCCGGCCAGCTAGCTCAGAGCCAGTACCTACAGTGAGGAGGCTCTCTGACACTCCTGTTTAGATCTGTCAGCCAGGGCTCCCTGATTGGCTCAGGTTAACGGCACCAATCAGGATTCTCACATTCAGTGGGATCTACCTGGCCAACCTCGTTCTAATCACTACAGTCATGATTGGCATTATGCTCATTCGAAGAACTGGTACTGACATAATGGGCTGAATTACTTACTTCTGGGCTGTAACACTTTTGTGAATTTGTGATAGTCTAACACCAATTGCTTATAACTATTTGAAGCCGTGAATCAAATCGTGAATGGACAGCACCTCATTGGAATGTTAGGCCGTGAATTCAGTCATGTCGCAAAAATCCTATTATGATTGTTTTTTTGGCATGAGACTGAAAGTTAAGTGAAATAGCAAGTAATGACCTTTCAAAATAAAACTTCAGATATTTTGTTTTTAATTTAAAGGCCAAGTGATTTAAATGCCTTATCAGATTAATGATTCATTCGTAACTATTTTTAATAATTCCAAAATGCACTTAACCTGTCCCAAAGGTTTCCATGGACCGATTCAGAAGGATCCCTTACTTTGCAAAGAACTCTGCTAAATTAGATCATCTCTTGAAAAATGTAAAGTCCACAAAGTGTTGGATATGCCTCAAATGAAAATTCGATCTGATTGAAGGGAGCTGCACTTTTACATGTGCAATCTGGTGCCACACTGTTTCTTCATGTGAAAACTTAGCCTGTGTCTCAATGTCACATTTTGTTTAATGACTTTACTGTCAAGGCACCTTGGAGCTTTTTATATTTTTATTGAGTCTATATAAACCCACATTATTGTTGTTATTGCCCCTGCCATTGACTTAGACTATTGATACTTGAAGTTACAATTCTGGATTTTGGTAAATAGTACATCTGATCTGTCCAGGACTGAAGCGACTGTACTATTGAAAGAAGTGCCAACTGTAGTTATTACTATAGCTCAGTTGAAGATCAGTTGAGCCAATGTTCATACGGGCTGCAGGAAGGCACAGTGGTTCGCATTGCTGCCTCAAAGCATCAGGCACCCTAGTTTGATTCCAGCCATGGGCAACTGTCTGTGTGGAGTTTGGCCATTCTCCCCGTACCTGTGGGGTTTCAGCCAGATGCTCCTGTTTCTTTCCACAGTCCAAAGGGTTAGGCAGATTGGCCATATTAAATTGCCCTGAACTATCTAGGGAAGTACAGGCTAGGTGGATTAGCCATGGTAAATGCAGGGTTATGGGGGTGGGAAGGTGTGGGTCTGAGTGGAGATGCTCTTTGGAGGATCAGTGCTGACCAGATGGGCTGAATGGCCTCTATCTGCACTGTAGGGATTCTATAAATTAAGTTATGCAAGAGCAAATAATTTTCTTCAAGGCTTATCTAAAATGAACAATATTAATGTTTAATCTTTACACTGCTGCTTCTAAGTCTTGCTGTAAACCGTTGATAATGGTCACTTAATGTTTAGAAAGGAACGTTTTAATATCAAATGTTTTGAATGGTATACAAATACAGTAAATTATTAACAAAGCATTGCCAAAGGAAATCCTGATCTTTATCAGTGTATAGGTCAGGATTCATTTAAAACTGCTTCAACAACCATTCAGTGAACAAGTGACCAACCTGTCGTCTGGGGGCAGTGGAAGTAGCTAATATTGATTAATTCAAATGAACACAGATTTCTGTCAGAAGTAATCATTTAGAATACAGTAAAAGGCATGATTTGAGGCATAACCTGTGGCAAGTGCATGGTTGGGAGAATTGACTGTGGGTCTCATGTTCCCAAAGCCTTTCAGGGTTTTCCCTTGTCATGTCTTGTCTGGGTCAGTGATAGGCTAATTGAGTTTCATACCTGTGAATCATCAACAGCTCCTCTCTCTTTGAACATGCAACTCCAAAATTAGTAGAATCTCAAAGATATGGGTCTTTACATTTTTTCTGACCAGGAATTCTTGTGTTCCACAGCAACACTTGAGCACGAGGATACACTGCTTTCCAAGGATGCCTACATGAGGAGTCACAAATGGTGCTGTACATTGTGCAATCATCAGCAAATATCCCCACTTCTGACCTTAAGAATGGAGGGTAGATGTAATTCTGTTATTCTGTTTATTTCCCATTCTTCTGAAGTAGACTTGGAACTTATCTCCTTGTCCTGCTTCTGTGAGTGGAATGTAATTGGAAGCCATCACTGATAGAAATTGCCGATGAATGAAGAATCTGTGTTCAGGTAGAGCTCGCACAAGTGAATGAGATCTTCATTACAACTTCATTGTACACAATTATTAATCACATTCTCCAAACCATAATCTTAGATTCAATACTTACATTTCCAAATAAATGCAATGCTGAGATCAACAAGCAAGACATAATTTCAGGAAAATAACATTGTAGTATAATTGAAATGAACTTCATTAATGATTTACAATTCACAAACTTTGACTGCAGAAATATTTTAAGATCTTGCTTTCAAGTATAACTTAAGTTCAAAAAGGCACTGTAATTGTTACTTTAGAATTAGTATTTATGTGCAATCTCAAAATGCTCACACAAAGTAATGGATAAAATTGTGTTCTTCTCATCAAAATTCTCACCAACATTAGCATTATCCACAAATATTTACTATTGTTTATATATCAATTAGAATATTTATGTATTTGAATTCGTATATAAACAATAACAAATATATATCCTATCTATACCCTATGCAGAGTTATATCCCTTAAATACTCCAACTCCCCAATATTGTGCTATTTAAAGGATAACAATCCTTCTCAATTTCAGTCTTGATCATTGTTGCTCATTTTTGATCTCTTAATTTTTTTAACCTGATGGTCTTTGTCCCCAGTAGTGGGATTTGGAGGAATAAACCAGAGTAAAAGTAGAAAAAAATAGTTCCCATTATCATGTGAAAGGAAAGCATTGTTTTAGTGCAGCTGTTTGTTTCATGGTCATTGGAAAAATTATTCTTTCTATGGGATAAATTGGGGGGTGGATATGATCCATTTGGGGCCCATTTTCATTTCTATTACCTGGATTAACAGGGTAGTGATAAACTCAAATGAGGATTTTAGCCTTACTGCACTATAGGTGCCAATGAAGAGGTGGGCGATACTCTTAAAGGGTCCTATAATTGGGTATCCTAATCACTTGCTTGTTTTCAGTGGCACTATCTTTTCACGTCTGAATCAGTAGTTCTTGGACCAGGATTGTTATTTTAGAATTAAACTGACCCAAGCATGTGTCAGAGGACATGGGAGCTGATGAGGGACATTGACAATGATTTTGTCCAGTCCTGTAGGTTCCACAAAAGTAATCTGAGCTGCTTTTCTAGGAACCCCTCTGTAATTGTGGCCTCACTCCCAGCATCTTGCTGACAGAAAGGACAGATAAATGGGTGTCTCAACTCAAAAGAGTACCATCAGAACACTCCTTGATGCACCACAGCACAGAGAAGGGATGTAAATGAAGTTTGCTTGTTAAAAGTGCAGCTATTACCTTGCTGTGGGTTGGAAACCAGCCAGCCAATGTGCTTCATTGGTCTTTGTCTAAATGTCAAAATTGACCACACACTACTCTTGTGGACCAAACAGAGCCACAAAGCTTTGCATTACAGGACAGTACATTGTTGGTTCAAATAATAGTGAGGAACATATAAAAGTGCAGCATTCTGTTTATCTAGGTACTTAGCTTCAGTCCTTGATGATTTTGATAGTATTGTTAAGCATATTTCAGAATAATTTCAAGAAGATAACATTAGTCCAAACACAAATTGTCAGTAAATGAATGTCCATTTCTCCGTTTCTGCCAATCAGTTCCCAAAGCTGGGCTTAATCTCCTTCTTATTATTGACCATTGTAATGTGTTCTCCCGTTTTATGAAATTAAGTTCCGTGTACTTAAACAACTGGCCCTGCAATCAAATCAAAAACAGAACTGTTATAAAGAATGAAACTAATTTACCATTTTCTGTCAAATTTTTCTCGGTAAGTACAGTTATGTATTGCAAGACTGGTTTTATTCTTAATTCAAAAATATTTATTGTCAGATGATATGGCAAGGGAATTTGTTAATGTACCAATGCCTTACTGTGCTGCTGATTACTAAAGACTAAGCAAGTAAGTATTATATAAATTGACAGTTCCGAATTCAGCTTCACGCAATCTGATGATAACATATAGTCTCAGGTAGGGAACAGGGAACTTTAACATCTTGATAATGGAATCTCTACAGTGTGGAAGCAGTCCATTCAACCCATCAAATCCACACCAACCCTCTGAAGGGCATCCCACCCAGACCCACTCCTCTATCCTATCCCTATAACCTTGCATTTCCCAATTCCTGAGCCAGGTAACCTGTGAATTTCTCTGTGCCACTGAACTCCTCTTTTGAGCTTAGAGTTGGGAATGATTGGGAAGCATCCTTCAATTGGGGCTAGGGTGGATGGCCACTTTAAACCTGTGAAACTGATGTCAGGAGGACTACAGGAAGGTCACCTGGGTGTTTTAACTGTCCCTCCCATGCAAACCTACTATTGTTCAAATTCTGTCCTCTGTAATTCTATGCATGTTTATTTCCAACTCCACAATATTGTCTGCCTCAGTCTACATGTTACTAATACCATTTTGTCTTCTCTTCACCCAAATGTCTGGATTTAATGATCACAGTAGTGCATCTGTCTATTGGCTAGGGAATGGGTGGCAACCCCAATGTGACTACTTCCAGGTGCCCAATGCCATTAAAAGTCAATCAGCTTTGAGCAAGGAACCCAATAAGTGCGGCTGGTTTGCTGGGATCAGTCAGGAAGTGAGGGGTGGGGGCAGAAATGTTGCATTAAAGACTGGAGTCATCCTACTGGCTTTGGGCCTTACTGCCAATGTGTCACTCTGTTAGGCATTGGATGTCCAAGCATGATGGACTCTCTGCTGAGCCACCAGCAAGCCCACCAGGGTATAACTGGCAGCTTGTCCACATAGAGTGACCACCCCGCCACCATTGACAGAATGCCAGCAGGGGCAGAGTGAGCCACTTAATATTCTGTCCTTGATCATTCTGGGTGTGGACATAATTGAGAGGCATCAGAAAGGTCACAGGAGTTTCTCGCCATGTTTTTCTCTCAAATTTTATATCCAATCTCCCTGCTGTTCTGCGGGTGGGGAAGGGATCTCAAATCCTACCCAACGTTTCCAAAAGGAAAACTTTGTCAACCTCTTCAGAAGCCACCACTTTATCCTGTTTGAATGAGATTCCACTTGGCCAAACCACCCATCATTGCTGATCTCTTTAATCCCCAAAGAATTAAAATTGATATTCTCATTCTTATGCACAAAGTAACTATACACACTTACCCCTTAATTTTCTGCATTTGGTTAATGGTTTCTGGGAGAGGAACATTGAGTGTTTCTGGCAGGAACAAGATCAAAATTGCTGAAAACACTGTCGAACTCCCAATCAGAATATAAGGCAGAAACTCATGATGAATGCCTGTGAAAATATAAATAATTTCGTGCAATGCATCTTGGATGGATGAGAAATTTTTTGCATAAGTAACAATAAGGCCTCACCCAAAATTTTTTGTTGTGCAATGTAGTGCGTGGCATGAACATGCTGAGTCATGCTTTTGGCTATTTTGTGTGCATGTTACAGAATCTCTTGCCTCCCAGCACTAATTTGTTCATAGTTCCTACTAGAGCCCTGTACAAATGCACATATTTCAGATTCTACATTGGCACTGATGTTGTTCAGTTCTAATTAAAAGATATCTCTCTCAACATTTCTGCCATCTGATTTGTCAGACATTCAACGCTGGATGAGCAAGTATTTCATCCCTCTGAGTTAAATGAAGAAACATCATCACTCGAACTTGAAAAGGCCACTGAATGCCTAGCAAGTAGATGGGTAAGAGGCAAGAATGGAAGCCTAACCAAAACACTCAAGCCCAAAATCCCATCTTCTATGAACTTACTCTTTGTTGGAAAGAAAGTGCATTTCCCAGAAGCTTTGTGATCATCAACAACTATAGGAGCATCTCCCTTCTCAGTGATACAAGGAAAACCTTCACTAGGGTCATGCTTGAAAGACTCTATCTACTTATAGACTGAGTGCATTGATGAAACAAAGTGTGGTTTCCGTTTTGGCAGATCTTTAGTGAACATGATCTTCTCTACATATCAGCAATAAGAAAAGTGTAGGAAATAGGATATTTCTCTTTACCTTACTTTAGTGGATTTCACCAATTCAATTTAATTGACAGAGCAAACCTCTACAAGATTCTGGGGAAAATGGGCCACCAGAGAAGGCTCATCAGTCTGATCCAGTCCTGTTTTGACAGCATGCATTGTAATGCACAGCCTGACATCTGCATTTCTGACAGTTTCAGGTTGAAGAATGGAGTGAAACTCTGTTATTTTCTTCTCCATCTTCTTGTGCTTTTCCCTCCTTGGAATTTTGTAAAGCGTTTAACTACATTTTAGGTCAGAATGAAAGTTTTGAACCTGTCCATATTAAAAGCAAAGACAAAAATACAGCATGTAGAGAACTCTAGCTGAAGATGCTATACTAGTCGTTCACATGTAAACTTAGCTACACAGGCTCATGGATCATCATTCTCAGACCTGTAACCAGTTGTCCCTGGTGATAAGCTTCAAGAAAACTGTGGTTATGTGACAGGTTGTCAAATCTCTGCCCTTGATCACAGCAAACTGCAAGAAATGCTTCTAATTACATCTTGAGTCCATGTTGCCAAACTGTCTCTGGATGAAGAACTCAGTACATGCATTTTGAAAACAGCTACCAACTTTGGGCAATTTGCAAAACATGTATGGAATAACATCAAGCTAACTGTTAGGGCTAAGGTCCTGTTTATGAGTCCTGTCATTCAGAACCTTGTTGTAAGTTTGTGAAAAATGAGCAACTTACAGCTATCTCGAAAGGAACCTGAACAACTTCCATCATTTGTTTTAGTATGCATTTGGGTCATCTCATGGATAGAATCATGATTGCAGCTGTCTTCTCAAAGACAAGTCTCCCAAGTGTCTTGGCAGTCATCAAGCATACTTTTTTGACTTAGGCTGTTTGAAGACTTAAAGCTCAGCCATTTACTTAATAATTTCCTGCTTGGTGAGAGTGGTAGACAAATAAACAGTAGGAAATCTACAGCCCCTACTTCAAGGATACTTGTTAGTGTGACCTGAAAGGTGTAAACTTTAACTTCTACATCTGAGAGACATGTGCTGACAACAAAGGAAAATATTGACATTATCGATGAGTATTGTGGTACCAAGGCTAAGCAATTTGGCAACAGGTACCAACTCTGGTAAACAACAACCTACAATGGATACTTCAGTCATCACCAAAAGTGTACACTGCACAAAACTATCCCATTCCACATGTATTTGATCTTATCCATGTCCATCATCTTATGAAGATGTAGGCATGTCAACATTTCTTAACCAAAGTTATCTTGTTTAAAATATTTCTTAAAGCCTGCCTCCAGATTATTGAAGGAAATTGCCCTGGACAAAATTGGATGCATTCATGGTCATCTTGCAAAATTCTACAGATACTGGGGGTGATGATACAAATTGCAGGATGGCAAATGTAACCCTACTATTTAAAAAGGGGGAGAGAAAACAAAACAGAGAATCACAGACCTGTCCACCTAACATCAGTAGGGGTGAAAATGCTAGACGCTATTATAAAAGTTGGCAGAATATTTGGAAAACAGTAATGGGATTGGAAAAGGCAGCATTGGTTTATGAAAGGCAAATCATACTTAACAAATCTACTGAAGCTATTTTTGAGGATATAACTAGTAAAATAGATAAGGGGGATCCAATGTATGTGGTGTATCTGAATTTTCAGAAGACTTTTGATAATGTCCCCCGTAAAAGATTAGTGGGCAAAGTTAAAGCGCATGGGATGGAAGCAATTTTTAGCATGGATCAAGAATTGGTTGATAAACAGGAGTGAAGATCAATCAAGGAAAAATTGACTCAAAGACAGAACACTCCAGGGCTTAAATGCTTAAAGCCACTTGAAAAAGAAGTCAAGGAATTAAGTTTCTCAATTCTTTCTATCAGCTTTGCTCTCGGTGTTAGGGGTGAATGAATTTCTCTTTCTATAGGTACTTGTTTTACTTCAACACTTGTAGCAATATGAGGGTGCTGTGGTGCAGCCAGGAAAATCTCAAGGACTCCACCTGAAAGGCCAATTTTGTTCCATAGGCACTCTCTGTCAGTAATCATGGACTAAAGATTCTTATTCTCTCTCTGCAGCATTTCTGTTTGAAAGATTGCTTCATCGGTCATTAACAACAACAGGAAGATTTATTTAGCTAGGCATTCACTGCGTTCTTGAAGTTATATGCATTTGTGAAATGAAGAGGCTTTTTCCTCCATCAAAATATCTTTCTATTGAATCAACTGGTTGTTTGGGACAAGACCTTTCCAAACATTTTTTATTCATTTTTGAGAGATGTGGGTACCGCTGACTGGCCAGCATTTATTGCCCATCCCTAGTTGCCCTTGAGAAGGTGGTGGTGAGCTGTCTTTCTGAACTGCTGCGGTCCACTTGCTGTGGGTTGGCCCACAATGCCACTAGGGAGCAAATTCCAGGATTTGGACTCAGCGACAGTGAAGGAATTATAATATATTTCCAAGTCAAGGACGGTGAGTGGCTTGGAGGAGAACTTGAAGGTGGTGGTGTTCCCAAACATTTGTTGCCCTTGGTCCTTCTAGATGGAAGTGGTCATGGATTTGGAAGATGTTGTCTGAGAATCTTTGGTGAATCTTCAGCAATCTTCTCATTTACAGCCTCCAGGGCTTGATTGTGCTTGTTTCAGCCAAGAGCTAGACTTCCAGTACACTAGTCTCATTAAGTGAGCTGAACTACTAATTCTTGTTGAGGTCTGAGCTTTTCAACTTGCTCCTCTTGTGAACTTTAAACTTGTTGAAGGCATGCTGTGTCTCTATTAGCTTAATAATCATGCTATGTCAGCTTTAGTTGAAAATAAACCTTGGCTTGATGATGGGTTTCACTTTCAGCTACTATCTCTGCAGGTCAATAACTTCTGCATGTTGAATATTAATCTTATCTAATTTGGACTTTAAGATCTCTTTCTCCCTGATTAACTTCTTATTCATTGAAATTGTTGTATTTCCTCTTGATGGCTCTTGCATTAGGATAGAAGTTTCTCCTCTAAGCAAATCAAACTCATATTGATAAAAAAAAACAAAAAAACCTTGGATGCTCTAAATCAGAAACAGAAACAGAAGCTGCTGGAAAAGCTCAGCAGGTCTGGCAGCATCTTTGAAGGGATTCAGAGTTAACGTTTTGGGTCTGGTGACCTTTCCTCAGAACATAAACTCACATTGATGTTCTCTGTGCATGGTTGCAAATATTTGTTGCACACAGTTGATTTCTGCTTGAACAGTTGTTGCTCATGAATCCTAACTGAAGCTCCAATAGTCTTAAATTTGTCTTGAAGCTCCAGACCTCTGCCTTTCCTGATTGAAGATACCTTTTCTAACTTCATATTTTTTGTTATTTCAGTTTCTGAGCCAAATATCAAGACTGTAAATACTTCTCAAACTGCACTTGGTGTAATTTTTGTTTCAACTGGTGCAAGGTCACTTTGTTGTTTCTCAGCTGTGACTATACATTTAAACTCGCAACCACTTATATCTCAAAGGACAAGGGCAGCAGATGGAAACACCACCACCTGCAAGTTCCCCTCCAAGGCCCTTACCATCCTGACTCGGAAATTTATCGCCGTTCCTTTAGTGTTGCTGGTTCGGTCCCTCCCTAAGGGCTCTGTGGCTCTACCTACAGCACACAACTACAATAGTTCAAGAAGGCAGCTTACCACCACCACCTGAAGAGCAACTCGGGATGAGCAATAAATGTGGATACCCACAAAGAAAGTTAAATTCACAGAGAAATCTCTTCATCTAAACATGGCTGCAGTTACTGTTGCTGCACTTCCTGGACAGACTCTGTTCAGTAAGTAAACAACTTCACTTCTCCTTTCACTTTCTCTTTTATTTTCTTCAAGAATAGTTGATTCTCCTCAAAACAGATTACTGGATTATCAGGGACAGTGTCCCTGGAATCCAAAACGACAGGAAGGTGTGCTGTTCCAAAGCACTGTCTGGAATACACTCTCTTGGCTGGTCATTGCCTTCTTTGGCACCTGTTTTCTCCGCTCTTTCCAGTTTCTAATTTGAGAGAATTGGAAGGCCTTCTCAGTCTTTCTCTTGCAATACTTGGCCCAATATCCTTGTGGGAGTGTTTGCCAGTGTTGTTGGGAGGAGCTCAAACTAATTCAGCTGGAGCAGGGAACACAGCACCTTAATAAATAGTGGCACAGCATACCTTAGAAAAGGTACCAAGACAGAGGGACTTCAGCTGTATTGTTCTAAATGGAGTCAGACGAGGCTGGAGGACTCCTACTTCAAAGCTAGAAGTATTATAGGTAAGACAGATGACATAAAGTATGGATTGATACGAGGAATTATGATGTTTTTGTTATCACAGAGACATGGTTGAGCGGCAGGACAAGAGACGGTGTAAAGGAGAAAGTAGTGTCACAGAATTAATTAAGGATTCAGTTACTGCAGTAAAGAGGGACAATATCTTGGAAGTGTTATCACACTAAGCTGTGTGGGTAGAGTTTAGGAATAATAAAGGGGCAGTCACGCTGTTAAGAGTGTACTATAGGCTCCCACACAGCTAGCAGGCAGTTGAGGAGCAGATATGCAGTCAATTCACTGAGATGTGTAAAAATAACAACAGGGTAATTTTATTAGGGAATTTCAACAATTCCACTATTAATTGGAATGATCATAATATAATGGATTTAGAGGGAGCAGATTTCTTGAAATGTTTTCACGGGAGCTTGTCATTTCAACATGTAGCTGGTTCTACAAGGAATGGTGCAGTGCTGAACTCAATTCTGGAGAACGAATCCCGACAAATGTTCAAGGTGGCAATGGGAGAGCATTTTAATGATAGTGACCATAACAACATACATTTTATATGTCTTGAACTTGACTAACATCCTAGCTGTTTTTACTGTTACAGGATCTCAGACTTATACATAATCCACATTCTATGCATATTAATGTCACTGCTTTCTTCCACCGCATTAACATAACACATTAACAATAACTTTTTTACTGGCGTGTAGGAGGTTGAGGGTGACCTTATAGAAGTTTATAAAATCATGAGGGGTATAGAGAAGATGAATGGCACATATCTTTTCCTGTGGGATTTCAATACTAGGGGCGTATTTTTATGGTAAGAGGAGAAAGATTTTAAAAAGACATAAGGGGCAATCTATTTTTACGTAGAGATTAGTTCATGTTTAGAATGAACTTCCAGGCGAAAGTTGTGGATGTGGGTACAGTTATAACATTTAAAAGACATTTAGATAAGTACACAAATAAATATTTGGAGGGATATGGGCCAAGCATAGGCGAGTGGGACAAATTTAGTTTGGGATTATGGTCGGCATGGACTAGTTGGACTGAAGGGTCTGTTTTTGTGCTGTATGACTCTATGACTCTATAACATTACACACAGCTAACTGTGATGGCTACATACTCCAGTGACCCCATTGCACTGTCTCGCTGGTCAAGGTGAGGCAAGGACGTTTGTAATGCCACCTGTTGTGATGTCATCTGACCTCCTTAAAAGTACACTGTCTTCTGGTATGTGCAACAATACAGCATCACCTTTATCCTGTTATATGCAAGCTGTAGATGGAATGATTATGCTTTTCAGCCAAATTCTTCACAAATCTCAATCTCTCTCTGCTGCCTTTAAGCTTTTGGATACTTAAGACTTGCCATCTAACCAATCAGTACAGGATCATGTTGAAGGGATTGGAGTAAGAGAGTGAGAATAAGAGAGTGATGAGTAAGCAACTTGACATGAGCTGACACGCACAGCCACCAACTCAGGTATTGGAAACTGCATGGGCTTTAGACAGTAGTACTGAGATAGGATCTGCACATAGTGTGCCATGACCCTGAAGCAGCAAGGGAAGCTGGAAAACATCACAACCCTGCAGCAACCATATCTAAGAGCCCTGAAGTGCTTCAGGCAAATATCTGTCTACTATTGGGCCTTCTATCTCTTTAAGGGAAAAGAAGCCTTCTCCAAGAGTTCCTGGATAATTGGAGAGCTGGCAGTTCTTCAGGCCTAGGACCAGACCAGGACCAGCAATGATGGAGGAGGAGTTGGTCAGGTTCACTAAGGCTAGTCAGGCAGACCCTGGGAAGGGGTGGGATTGTTCCAGAGGGATGTGGGGACCTTTCCAAGGAGATAGCCATTACCACTTACTCCGTCAGTCCCAAAGTGGCCAGTCAGGAGCATATCCTCACATTCCCTTTGCTCCAACCCAGAGCACTGAAACAGGCGACTAGATTTTATCTAACATCTATCCAATGGGGCAGAGGTATCCACTCCACTCCACTCCATCCCCTGGAACCCCTCCCTCAACAATGCCATGCTTATAGAATAACACGCAGTGGGAGATAGACACCTTAAGAGGCACTTAATCTGTCACTTAAGGCCTTACTGGTCTGTGCATGAGCAGGAAAGCTCTATTCCACCTTTCACACCCTGAGTAAATTGCAGGGTATGAAGAATGTAACGGCATTCCTCTCTGCTTGACTCTTGATTCTGTAGTGATCCCCACCTTCCAGCCTGCATCATAGGGGAATGATTCAGTTACTGAATTCTACCTAATGAGTCACTGACCATGTGTGGTTACAGCCAGGTTGGAGGTAAATGATTACAAGCTGCCTACAGAGCAACATCACTGACAAATTCTTCTGCTGAGAAGTCAGATGAGGACCTCACAAAGGAGAGGGCTGATGGGCATGTACAGAGAGGTGTTGAGAGCTTTGGCAGACTTAGCACAGAACCTGTTTTCACTTCCAAGGAACACAGAGAAGTCGAGCTGCACCTGGGTACGGAGATAAGTGCATTGCTTGAAGCTCATTCTTTTCAGTTTGGATGTGATGGCTAACACAGGACAGTACCTTGGATGGAGCTATGATGCGGCATTCAATAGTCAATGGCTCAGCTTCCGTTCCAGCACAAGCATTTATCACTCAGCATCTCAGTGCTACAGTGGAAGCTCAGACTGTGGTTATGAGATCTATGCTTGTTGTCATGTAAACCCCTTGGGCCATTTCAGGCTCAGACCATTGAGGATGAGGATTTCAGTGTACAAAAGGGCTTGCTCACTGTTATAGCACTTAAGCAATCCATGCTCCAACACATTATTTGGATTGTTTAAGCTTTGCCACAGTGGAGTGGTCATAATTCTGAGGTGTATAATCCCCTGTCCTTTCTCAGAATTCTACCACTTGACCTCATTACATCACTGTCAATTCATCAGTGTCCTTGTTGTTGTCTGTCAGCCAGCTAACCCCATCTCCTGCCCCTCATGCTGTCGTTACATTGAATGAAACTATGTTAGTGATATGAATGGTGTGTATTTGGGAATGGCCATTGCTTTGGCATCTTTATATTCTCATTTCATACAGAGTTTAGACTGACAACTTACCGAGATAAAAAATGTAAGGTGAGATGATGGAGCCCAGCCTGGAGAACATGGAGCTCACTCCAATACTAAGGTTTCTTATAGTGGTTGGATACAGCTCAATAGTATAAACATAAAGTATGGAGAAGGCAGTTGTGGTGCAAAATTTGCCAATCATCACCAGCAATGTGGAAAGTGTTGGTAGATCTGGAAAAAAATACACACAAACACAATTTAATGGAAGGTGCACTGGTTTACAAGAAGCCTATTTGTATGATCCTGACAAACACTTAACACATTCAGAGATAGTCGGAACTGCCAATGTTGGAGAATCTGAGATGACAAGGTGTAGAGCTGGATGAACACAGCAGGCCAAGCAGCATCAGAGGAGCAGGAAAGCTGACGTTTCGGGTCTGGACCCTTCTTCAGAAATGGGGG